GCAGGGGTTTTGGGGGGGGGGGGGGGGGGGGGGGATGCTGTATTTTCTTCCTTTTCTTTCTTTCTTTATTTCTTCCTCTCTCTTTTTTTTGCAGTTACAGCAGATTGAAGCTTATGGAGTCAGCCAAAGTGAATAATTCTTTTCAGCTCAGGGAAGCCACCTGAAAACGAGAGAGTTTTGATTCACTGTTAAAACATTGAATTTCCTGCTCAGGCATTATAACCAAACATTTCCTGGTTAAATGTCACAAAGCCAAAGTCTGTCCCAGCAGCTGAGAGTCCCTGGCCCATTTGCCCCTGCCTGGCTACAGCCCTGTTCAGTTGGCTGTTGAAGTGCAGCTGCTTGTCTTCTATCCCATGTTTTTCTCATGGCTGAGATCTGGAGAATTATAAGGGACCCAACCAATGAGTGGGCGAATGGAGGAAGCTTCCTGGCTTCACAGGATGCTTCAGGCAGGAATAAAGATGTTTTCTTTTGGTTGGACAGTGGAGCTGAAACACATCCCTTCTTAGGGATGTTGTGTCACTTCACACATTACATTTTTAGGAGTTTGCTTCAGCCTTGTACCTGAAAACTGCAAAATGTGAACGTGACAAACCTCTGCAAGCACCTGCATCACACAAGGTGCCTCCTGGGAAGTTGTGTGCAGCTGCAGCTCCTTCAGGGTGATGTCAGGCCTGATTTGGCTCCTGCATAATATATGAATTGTCCTGTGAAAGCAGAACAGGACTCTAGTGGGCAGTCCCTTTGACGGTGCAAAGATGATAAATGCTTTTTAAACTTTTGGCTAAAAAGGAGCTATCTAGTTTTAGTGTAAAACCTGAGAGCCCTCTTACTATAATGGATAGAGTTGAGCGTACATTGCTTCACAGATTCCGGGAAGCACAGGCTGGGTCTGGGGTCCCCACTCTGTATCCTGAGTGTCATACGTGACTTGCAGGTGACTCAATTCCAGTGCCTGCTTAAGACTGTGACTCTGATGTGCATGGAAAGGAGCTTTCAGCATTTTCCCCTCATACCTTTTTTCTGGTCTGAAATGATCTTGGGTTGGGAGGAAGAGGGCTGGTATTTGGCCTAATGGCCAAAGAGCACACCCCGGGGACCACTGCAGTCCTGGAGAATGGTGCAGATTGTGGGCCTTTCTTTTAAATGCTGCTTATTGCCTATTGCGCTTGCAGCTTCAATTGTGTTGCAAGAATTCACTTAGGTTGAGTACCGCTGGCTGAAGGAGAAGTAATGCAATATGCATTCAACCTTGTGGCAAGAATGAAGCTCCAGTTCTCTGGCCTCTGCCAGTGGCAATGCTGTACAAACTTCCTTCCTCTCTCTCTGTTTCCCCCCTTCTACTCACTCTCTGTCTGTGTACTTTTGTGTAGAACTCCTCCTCCTCCCCCCTCCCCTCAGTAGCACACCATCATAGTCAAGTTACAAGGAGTTGGAAAAGAGCAGGAGACACTTGTTCAAAAGCTGTTGCCTGCCCACCATTGTATTTCTTCTCCAGGGTCCCAGTTCACGTGCGTATTCTGTCCTCCTTGGTTGTCACGCTGACTGTCTTAATGGTGATCACAGTGTTGGTGAAAGTGGACACCTCTTCTTGGACTCCTCAGTTTTTTGTAATCACCTTGGCCTGTGTGGCCATCATCAGCAGTGCCACCACCGTCTTCAGCAGTAGCGTTTTTGGCCTCACGGGGTGTTTCCCCATGCAGAATTCCCAAGCACTGATTTCAGGTAAGATCTCCCCGTGATATCTACCAAGTAAAAAGAGGCTTTGCTAATTGCTGACTCCTATAACTGGGTTTGTGAGCACAAATGCACGTGCTGTCTATGGACTTCTGAGTAGCTGCAGCCCAAACCTCGTGACAGTTAATTCCCTTCTGAATGAAGTGCACTGTAAGCTGACTTTTTATTTAAAAAAATAAAGAACCAGGGAGTGCTCTTAAAAGGAAGTTCTGAAGGAAACTCAGCAGCTTATGTGAGCTGATTTTGCAGTTTCTGTAGATTTCTCATTTTCTTGGTTTTTATTTCATATTTTGATCTCTCCCAGAAGTTTAGTCTTGTGGTTCCTGTACTGAAGATCCAAAGTTAACTTTTTAAAAAATATTAAAAGGGAAACATCTGCATTCAGCTCCATGTTTGTTTATATCTTAGAAAAAATATGAAACTTTGCATTGTCTCATTTTATATTCAGCATTAACATTAATTTCCATAACTGATGAGTTCCAAGTTTGCAGCTATGAATGATGAAGCCCCTCGAGGTTTTGGAGGTGTTGATAACACTGGAAATGTACTTTAAGGGAGAAGGAAGGGTGGGGGGAGGAATAGACGTGAAAATCAATATAGAGATTTGGGCACTGACAATCTCTGACAGACAAAAACTGAAATTGTGAGCAGCTGAAATGTTGAATTTCCCCCACAGCCCCAATTACAAGCACTTACAGAGTGCTGGATCATAACTTTATTTTATGGTTAGTGCAGAAATAGAGTGCCCCTTCATATCTTGGGAAATCCTTGCATAACATCCATGAAGAGGCTCTGTGACAACAGTAAATGGGAAGCAAAGGCTGATGCAAAAAAAATGCTGCCTATGCATGTTGTTCCATTCTCAACAGTAGTGAGTTAAGTTTAAGCTGTCTGCAATCCAGGATACTTCTTAGCGTGGCTGCATTATATCCCATGTAACTATGGGGAGGGCAGGGTTAGAACACCTCTGGTTAAAAAAAATGCTGCCTATGCATGTTGTTCCATTCTCAACAGTAGTGAGTTAAGTTTAAGCTGTCTGCAATCCAGGATACTTCTTAGCGTGGCTGCATTATATCCCATGTAACTATGGGGAGGGCAGGGTTAGAACACCTCTG